GAATGTGGTCTAAGAACTTCAATTTTTTTAATTTACCTATTATGGTCCAATGTCCAAATCCAAATACATGGTTAGATTCAGCATATCAAAGAACCCCATATATTCAATTTTTGTTGAAATCAAACAAAGTTTAATTTTGGACCCCAACTTGGACAAACTTGAAAACTGGTCCCATAATCAAAAATCTAAACACATGTTTAGATTCAGCATATCAAAGTACCCCAAGAATTCAATTTTTGTTAAAATCAAACTAAGTTTAATTTTGGACCCTTTGGACCTTAATGTAGACCAATTTAAAAAACGGGACCCAAAATTAAATATCTAAAAACACGGTTAGATTTGGAATATCAAAGAACCTCAATAATTCAATTTTTGATGAAATCAAACAAAGTTTAATTTTGGACCCTTTTGACCTCAATATGAACCAATTTGATAGCGGGCCCACAAATAAAAAATCTACATACATGGTAAGATTCAGCATATCAAAGAACCCCATATATTCAATTTTTGTTGAAATCAAACAAAGTTTAATTTTGGACCCCAATTTGGACCAACTTGAAAACTGGGCCAAAAATCTAAAATCTAAATACATGTTTAGATTCAGCATATCAAAGAACCCCATATATTCAATTTTTGTTGAAATCAAACAAAGTTTAATTTTGGACCCCAACTTGGACCAACTTGAAAACTGGGCCCATAATCAAAAATCTAAACACATGTTTAGATTCAGCATATCAAAGAACCCCAAGAATTCAATTTTTGTTAAAATCAAACTAAGTTAAATTTTGGACCCTTTGGACCTTAATGTAGACCAATTTAAAAACGGGACCCAAAATTAAAAATCTAAATACACGGTTAGATTTGGCATATCAAAGAACCCCAATAATTCAATTTTTGATGAAATCAAACAAAGTTTAATTTTGGACCCTTTTGACCTCAATATGAACCAATTTGATAGCGGGTCCACAAATAAAAAATCTAAATACATGGTTAGATTCAGCATATCAAAGAACCCCAAGAATTCCATTTTTGATGAAATCAAACAAAGTTTAATTTTGGACCCTTTTGACCTCAATGTGGACAAAGTTGATAACGGGGCCCAAAAATCAAAAATCTAAATACATGGTTAGATTCAGCCTATCAAAGAACCCCATATATTCAATTTTTGTTGAAATCAAACAAAGATTAATTTTGGACCCCGATTTGGACCAACTTGAAAACTGGGCCCATAATCAAAAATCTAAATACATGTTTAGATTCAGCATATCAAAGAACCCTAAAAATTCAATTTTTGTTAAAATCAAACTAAGTTTAATTTTGGATCCTTTTGACCTTAATGTAGACCAATTTGAAAACGGAACCAAAAATTAAGAATCTAAATACACGGTTAGATTCGGCATATCAAAGAACCCCAATAATTCAATTTTTGATGAAATCAAACAAAGTTAAATTTTGGACCCTTTGGACCTCAATGTGGACCAATTTAAAAACGGGGCCCAAAATCCAAAAACTTAATACACGGTTAGATTCAGCATATTAAAGAACCCCAAGAATTCAAGAATAAAACCCCATTGAAATTGATCAAGAAATAAGCAATTTATACGAAGTATCTTCTTTTGCACAATACTGTGAAATTGAATATTTCTTGCTATTGTGCAATACTGTACAATTGACAATTTCTTGCTATTGCGCAATATTGTGCTATTGGATATTTCTTGCTATTGCGCAATACTGTGCAATTGAAGATTTCTTGCTATTGCGCAATACTGTGCAATTGAAGATTTCTTGCAATTGTGCAATACTGTGCAATTGAAAATTTCTTGCTATTGCACAATACTTATTATATAATAATTTATACATCCTGTTTGGTGTGTATCTCCTACCATATCATTATTATTTGCTTTTAAATATTAATCAGAAATAACCAACTTAAAATGGAAAATTTTAAAAGAAAAAAAAAAGGAAAAAAAGAAAAAAAAAGAAAAAAAAAAAATCCCCCCCCCCAAATTTTTTGAACCCCCTTATGATTCATCACCCCCAAACTCAATCCCAGCCTTCCCTTTGTGGTATGGTACCTTGCAGTACAATTTCAGAGAGATCCATACACTTGAACACAAGTTATTGTCTTGAAACTAGAAAAATGCTTATTTTTGGCCCCTTTTTGGCCCCCAATTCCTAAACCTTTCAGGCTATTACCCCCGAACTCAATTCCAGCTTTCCCTTTGTGATATGGAACCTTGTAGTACAATTTCAGAAATATCCAAACACTTACACACAAGTTATTGTCATGAAACTAGAAAAATGCTTGTTTTTTGCCCCTTTTTTGGCCCCTAATTCCTAAAATTTTGAGGCAATTACCCCCAAAATCAATTACAGCCTTCCCTTTGTGATATGGAACCTTGTGGTACAATGTCAGAGAGATCCATACACTTACACACAAGTTATTGTCTGGAAGTTACAAAAATGCTTATTTTTGGCCCCTTTTTGGCCCCTAATTCCTTAACTGTTGGTACCATAACCCCCAAAATCAATCCCAACCTTTCTATTGTGGTATTGAACCTTATGGTAAAATTTCATGGAGATCCATTCACTTAAACTAAAGTTAGAGTGCGAAAACCAATGTGTCTTCGGACGACGCCAGACGACGACGACGACGACGACGACGACGACGACGACGACGCCAACGTCATACCAATATACGACCAAAAAATTTTCAATTTTTGCGGTCGTATAAAAAATCACATAAAATCGTATCACACTTCTCTCTTTCTTATTGTACAATCTTTTTGTCCTTGCATTTGAATGTATGGTTGTTGTACATCCAGTGGCAAATATTACATACATAATAATTACAAGAACATATTCACACCTGTGATTTGTACTAGACTGACACATTTGATTATTGTTTTGATGCACTAGTTCACAATGTTACATTCCACAGGAAGACACATCAGTTTATCAAGACATACTAATTCATGGCCCCATTGCTTTCTATGTTAAATTCCTCAATTTCAAGCAGGCACAGCTCCTTTGTCTTAAGTTCAATTAAAATGACAATCATTGCATGTCAAAGCATCACCTTATGGTGTCTTGTACTGAAAAAATCAACATACCTTTAATTGCATATAAGAGATAACTAGTTCCCGGAACCTCGTATGTTAAAACAGGTACTTCAGATCTGGCAAACAGGCAAAATGTACCCTCCTTTTATATTTTCCTGATTTTTTTTATTATTCAAGAAGTGTTCTACAATGATCACCAGTCATTCAGCTTTCATTTGATACCAAAATATTCTACATATTTTTGAAAGTTACACCCATGCGTAGGAACTATTTTGTGTCAAATATATACTACTTTCTGGTATGTGCTTTCTGAGCGGGCCTGAATTAATAGTGTTACACCTTCAGACAAGCAGAAAATGCCAATTTTCAAGTCTTGACTTACATCTAGAAATTGACAAAGAGAGTCTGTTGAAAACAAAACTTTACGACAAAAGAGATGATTTCAGCTTCTCAATTGTGAACTTTCCTTTTCTAAGTACCAACATTCTAGCAGCGCCTGCATAAGCAGTATATATCTTCCAGTTGATTCGATATTCCAGGGCTTACATTTTCTATCATGATTTCCTTGATAGAGGGTTGCTGCTCACAAGAAGCTTTTAAACTAAGAGTTCCAACTGGTGAAGTTGAAATCGTCCCTTCGTAAATTTTAAGGACGACATCACGAGTTGGTTGACCGTTATGGAATATCTGTTTCTCAGATGACAACGGATATGTTCCAAGTGTCGTAACTACAATCCTGTCCCCTTTTCCCTGAATGTGACCTACTAAATTAGACTTATCACCGGGTTTGTAAAAACTTTGTACTAACATGAGCAACAAGACGGGTGCCGCATGTGGAGCAGGATCTGCTTACCCTTCCTGAGCACTTGAGATCACCCCAGTTTTTGGTGGGGTTGTGTTGTGCAGTCTTTAGTTTTCTATGTAAGGTTTTGTGTATTGTTGTTTGTCTTTTAATTTTTTAGCCATGGCGTTGTCAGTTTATTTTCGACTTATGAGTTTGAATGTCTGTTTGTTATCTTTTGCTTCTCATTTTCAAACATTACTCTGCTAGAATTGATGTTTTAACCCCATCAACCCCATGACCTCCTACACTGGAGTCAGATTGCTTCCACAAGACCACCAAGAATGTTTTGCAAATAACAGATAAACAACTCCAAATCAAATTAATTAATGGGGAATGTGTCCATGGGACACAGATGATGCCCCCGCTTGCATATTACGTTATAAAGAGACATAACTCAAGAAATGTAAAAGTGACGCTACTTAAAAAAAGTTACCCCACCAAAATTCGAACTTGATCTGTGTTTTGTGGTAATTATCATTGTGCATAAGTTTCATAACATTTGGTTGAGGCAAACTAAAGTAAGAGAACAGAAACGAATATTTTAGCAATTTTTCTATTTGTAAAGGGGCATAACTCTAGAACGGTAAAAGTGACGCCACCAAATTTCAAACTTGATCTGTGTTTTGTGGTAATAAGCATTTTGTATAAGTTTCATAACGTTCGGTTGAGGCAAGCTAAAGTTAGAGAATGGAAACCAATTTTGGGACGTACATACGTACAGACGGACAAGGGTAAAACTTAATGCCCCCCTCCGCTATGGCGGGGGCATAAAAATAGTTGAATGAAAACTTTTAATACCTTTTTGAACATTGGTCAGTGATAAAATTGCACATTAATCACCTTATTTTAGATTTAATCAACTCTTCTTTACAAATGGAAATTTGGAGGGAAATGATGTAAAGCTGGAAATTGGTAAATTATGGTAATGGCAGGAGGATTTTGAAAATGAATTACCAGGTAGGTAAAAATTGTAACTGACATACATAGATAATCTTTCTAAATGCAGCTTAAAAAGGTTACTATCCTCACCCAAAAATGTAGAAAATAGTTGTGCATGAAAAATTAAAATGTTCATGCAGAAATGTCTTGAAAAATAAATATGTTATCTTTTATTGAAAGTAAATGTTTTTGCATAAAAATCCTCCTGAATATCTAATATATAGTCATCAGTTCAACAGATAACAGAAAACGAATTTCTTTTGATGGCAGCAGATGCAAGAAAACTAATTCTGATGGGATGAACACATAATTTTTCTTTCATTGACATACATGTATTTATAAAAATGGTTAATACATATACAAATACATACTAGTAAACCTTTTGAGACATTCTTGATTATCTTATCTCCTCTACATTTCAACTAGCACACTAATAAAATCTACACAGTATTCCAACTCTCTCATTCTACAAACAATATCTTGCAAAAATGACAGAATCCTTTAAATCTTTAAAACAATTGTTATAAATAATAAACTATTTTCCTAGTCTGTCATGAGTGTTGTATGTGTCTCTCGTTTAGTCATAATGAAAAAAATGTTGCTAAATTCTAAACCCATCTATATTTAATTTATTTACATGTACTTATTATTTTAGATATTTCAAAGAAACCTTTTGATGTCTTCCTATAAACAGTTTGTTTCTTAATTGATGCAGAAAAAAATTGAAAAAATAAAAATAATTGAATTTGCCCATCCACTAAAATTATCTAAAACAAGTAAAAATCTGGCACTGATGCATATTGCAAATTTATTGAGAGAAACATTTGTTCAAGAGGTTCAAGGTTCATAATATAATCAGTTATTTCTTACAATCATAATTGAATGTCTTACATTTCAAGTACCGTATTTGTTTTCCTCACAAAATTACATTATAAAATTCAAACCTGTTTACTGTAAATTCAGAAATTATTGTGATGCATTTACTATAGCGATTTTTGAAGAAAGGAAAAAATGTGATTAATTATCGTAATTTCACACAAATCTGCATACAGGTATATGTATAGGATATCAGAGTGTGATAATTTCTGAATTTACATTACTTCATCCACATACAGCACTTATATATATATCTAAAATAATTTTAAAAAAAATGAATGAATGAATGATTTTATTCTCATAAACTAGTACATAGCTACAGAGAAAGTCTTATCCAAATTCATTATCTATCTATTATAAAAATCAATTAAAGTAACAAATTCACTTAACATTGTTTTTAATTTAAAATAATGACATTCATATATGATAGTTTGAAAAATGTATATGTTCATGTACATGATAATTTATATCAAATGAACCACATTGTACACACATTCAGGTTATGATGTTTTTGGTTTTTAAAACCAATCAACTCAAAGTTTTACACCAATAAAGATAAACATTTTGAACTTGAACAAAAGTTATAACATATATTTAATTCATTACAATTTTTGTACTAAATAGGAAGAAATAATACATTGTATAATTTAGAATTTGTACTGCCTATACTATTTCTTTTTGTTTTGTTACAAAAAAACAGGTATTTTCCTATACAAAAACCAAACTTTGCATATACTCATATACAACTCGATGTTACCCCCCTGTAATATTATACATCTATCCTTCAATAAAATATTCCCAAGGCCTGAATACAACTGGACCAGTCATTACAGCAATAAAAATATTCCTAGATTATAATCCATTCTACCCTGATTTTTTCAGAGCAGATTTTTTTTTTCCCCGCTATATTTTTTTAGTTTCCTAGGAGTTTTCACAAAAACAGCAAAAATAAAATAAAAAATTGCCCTTAATCTTCCAGTCCTAATTGTTGAAATAAATAATGGATGAGAATCTAGGAAGATTTTTTAAAGGCCTTTTCCTTAAAAGTATTTTTTTTATGAAAGAACTAGTCTTCTTTATAAGGAGTCCGTCTAGCTTCAGAATCTTCTGTGAATGCTCTGTAAACAAACAGTCCTAGAATTATATGTACGGTTCCTATGGCAACAAATGCTGCATAAAAGTAACTGTTTTCTGAACTCATTCCAAGAAATGCTGAAAAGAGACAAATATTTTTTGTTTTCCAAAAGTATTACAGAAGTATTCCATGTGACAACTACATATTGAATCAATCAAATGTGGCATAAAGGACTGCTCTCCAACCCCTATAAATCTTATGTACATGTGGATATTTTTGCGGGTTGTTATTTATGCGATTTCTCTGAATCAACTTTTCAAGCAGTGTCAAATTTACACATCAATGATAAATTTGTACTTCAAATCAATATTCTGCAATCTTAAAAACAATTCACTTATATAAATCTAAGGTGAACACAAAATTACAGAAATCTTCCATGTTTAAAGTATCCAACACACAAGTACATGTATGTCACATTTTATGAATAGCCAACCTCTTTACAGGATTTTTAAGTTAAATCAACCAAAATTAAAAATAACTTCTAGCTATGGTGAGAGTGATGCAAATAAGGGACCCTCCATACAGTTTTGCAGTTTACCTAACTATAAAGGTTAGAAGATGTGGTATGATTGCCAATGAGACAACTCTCCACCAGAGACCAAAAGATGTAGAAGTAAACTATAGGTCATTGTATGACCTTCAACAATGAGCAAAACACAAACCGCATATAAAGTAAGCTATAAATGGCCCTGAAATGACAAATGTAAAACTATAAAATATACCGGTATATAACTAGCCTGCCTCAGTCTTCATGGTATTTTTCAGTTGAAAAAGGTCATGAAGCAGGCTGTGGTTGGATTGCACTTTTTTGCTGACAGGAAAGAAGAGAACTTTTATATAGGACTGTTCATATAGTATATAAGCAGTTTACCTTTGCCAGTTTCAGTCTCAGATCTTCCACAAGGCCATATGGGAATTTATGTAGCATCATTGCTGTCTTGTACATGACCCAATCAATTATCAATAATAAGTACATTGTACATATATAGAATCTTGGCATTTTTGTTTTTGATACTGACTTTATCAGCAAGAATATCAAGGGAGCCTGCAAGGGCGAGCTGATATTCGAGCTGATGAAGTCAGTATCAAAAAATAAAATGCCATTATTCTTTTTATCGGCAATTTGTTTTAACAATATGTGTTTTTGGTTAAGAACTAAAATTAATCAATTAGTAAAACTAATTTTACACGTACCAAACCTTGTGATAGTTGTTCGGTTGTATGAATGAAGTCGCGTGCCTTTCTCTGATAAATAGACGCAGATGAATATGAACACACAATGTTGCTGCACTGATACATGACGTCATTGCCTAATATTTTCAAGTATCAAGTCCTGTCCATGATATAAACAAATATTAGGCAGTAGGATGAAAGGAAAAATGTAGAAATTGCAGATAAATAAATATCTTAGGCTTTGTAGAGGGTCCCCCAATCATCCTTCCTGTAAACATGAGAAAGAAATGAAAATTGAAAATTCATCAAATAAAATGACCATGGTTGGTGCCTTATAGTCCAAATCAGCCTGGCTGTAATTGGTCAAGGGAGTATGTCATCCTCTCTATATCTATAGTCCTGTTCAACTTTCCTGTAATAGATTTTATTTACCAAAAAAAATGAAAAATACCAAGGAATCATTTGATTGATGAATTTTCCAAATTAACAAAAGATAAACATTTAGACATGATATAAGACGATCACTGACTAGATCCCTCACTTAGGACAGGCACATGCAAAGGAAACAAGTTTTAATTAGATCCTTCACTTAGGACAGCACATGAAAAGGAAACAAGTTTTAACTAGATCCCTCACTTAGGGCAGGCTATTGAAAAGGAAACAAGTTTTCACTAGATCCCTCACTTAGGACAGGCTCATGAAAAGGAAACAAGTTTTAACTAGATCCCTCACTTAGCACAGGCACATGAAAAGGAAACAAGTTTTAACTAGATCCTTCACTTAGGACAGCACATGAAAAGGAAACAAGTTTTAACTAGATCCCTCACTAAGGACAGGCTCATGAAAAGGAAACAAGTTTTAACTAGATCCCTCACTTAGGACAGGCTCATGAAAAGGAAACAAGTTTTAACTAGATCCCTCACTTAGGATAGGCTCATGAAAAGGAAACAAGTTTTAACTAGATCCCTCACTTAGGACAGGCTCATGAAAAGGAAACAAGTTTTAACTTAGTTTTTTTAGATCTCAATCCTTCCCCTTTTAATATCGATGAGTGTATAGAGTGGACTAACACAAGTGCCACCTCTGTACCTGTATTTCTCACCTGGTGAAAGAGTGCCAGTCTGCTAATGAAACCAATTATTTGCACATACTAGTTATTTTTGTTGCTGATCATTTTTTTAAATTTACACAATAACATTGTAACCTAGTTACTACAGTTCCTACAGTCAAAAAACTGCCAAAATTGCCAAAACAGGAAAATCAACATTTCAGGGTCAAAAACTCCCAAAATCAGGAAAATAGGTCCTCAGATTTCCTGACTTTTCAGAGTAGAAAAATTTCTTCATGCTGATCATTTTTACAGATTTCAATTTTAACCATTATCCTTTAGTTTTCAAGATAACAGCAAAAAACTAGGAAAATTGGGAAAACTGGGTATTTCAGGGGCAATAACTCCTAAACAAGTCAACAGATTTTTCTTAACTTTTTAGGGTATATAGATCTTGTGGTGCTGATCAGTCTATATTAAGAATGCTTATCATAGACATATAAAATTATCATTTTCTACATTTACTGAGCCTGGAATAAGAAATTAACAATTGTAGCCAGAAGCAGGCTGAACTGACCTATATACAGATATATATTCTTCAATCAAAGCATCATACTAAACAGGACCATGGATTCAATAACTTACCTTCAAAGAAAAAACTTTTGCTGATAAAATAGAGAAATATTGGCAAAGTAATCATGGCCAGACTAAAAACAACCATAGTCCTCATAACAGTATCAGTTTTTTCTTTATCTTCCATTCTGCAAAAGAGAAAAAAAACCTTAAAAAACCAGCAAACCATATTCCTTCTTTTCCGTAAATATGAAATCTTGTACAATTACTTATACCATGTAATAATTATATACAGAACTATAGAACTATAGAGTATCAGCATAACTAGTTCAATACAATCAGACTTGACCCATTGGTGGCCTTCGGCTGTTTTCTGCTCTTTGGTCGAGTTGTTGTCTCTTTGACACATTACCCATTTCCATTCTCAATTTTAATTTTAGTTACACATTTATTCTTATTTTGTGGCACACCACATCTTATTAAATGGTAAATACCCACCTCTACCACTGAAAACTGAGCTAAATACTTGATCCTTTCCATAACATATAATTTTTATTAATCAGTCTTAATGTGGTCTTGTTTTATTTGAGAAAGTTGTTCCAAATGAGACAATACATTGTCTTTCATATCTCTAAGGAAGCTTTAATTAACTAGAGGCTCTAAAAAGCCTGTGTCGCTCACCTTGGTCTATATGCATATTCAACAAATGACACTCTCCAGCATCGTAGGCGAGAATAGAATTCATGACAAAAATCTTTGTTTTGTTGATCTTGTATTGCTGATCATTTAGTCCGTTTAGTTTCTCTCTAGGTTGCACTTTGTAAATACAGCTGTTTCTCAAACCACGCCTCTTTTGGGGGAGATATTTAATATTCATAGGTATGTTAATTTGTTAACGTACTGGTTCCCATTGATGATCTCTGTGTTTCATCTCATAGAGACATCACTTGGGAATGTAACCAGTATTGAAAAACATGGTAGTGGCTAAATTTTAATTCTTAGGAGGTCCAAAAATGGAGGTAAGGGTAGTATAGAATTTTAGTATAAGTTTAAACTCTTAGAAGTTCAGGGCATATAAATGTTGAAAATATGCCGCACAGCCCTATATTTTGACCTTTGAATAAAATAGTAGTGCATATAAACTTTCCGTTCTGGGATATTATTTTTCACGAAACTTCATAGTAAAAGTGTCACAATTTTAGCCGCAAAGGGAGTTCCTATGGGAAATTGCATTGTCAGTATTTACAGAATTGCAACCTCTATCTTCTTTAGTTTTTGCTCACAACACAAAAGATGGTAAAAAAAATTCCTAAATTAAGGGCAATCACTCCTATAAAGAGTGACAGTCTACTAACTATATCGGCAAAATTTGACTTGTTAGTAGATGTTCTCTTGCTAATCAATTTTGCTTATATAAGTTTCTGTCTATCTATTATAATTTTTATCATAAAAGGAACAACGTCATTAAAGGGCAATATCTCCAATAAGGAGTAATCCAATGATTTCACCATATTGTATCAATTGTAGATCTTGTCGTGCTGATTATTTTTGCCTATATTTAAGTTCCCATCTATCAATTATAATTTTTTAGATATAAGGCAAAGCGCAAAAATTTGGTAAAAATTTGTCATCAAAAGGCAATAACTCTAATAAGAAGTCGACTGACGACTTCAACCATTAGCCTTATTTGTAGAACATTTCTAGCTGATCATTTTTGCATTTAAAAGTTTCTCTCTATTACAGTTTTTAAGATAAAAGGCAAAAATGAAAAAAGATTGTAAAATTTGTCATTCAAGGGCAATAACTCCTGTAAGGAATCATCTGACAGTTTTACATAAAAAGACAATTAGAAATGCTCACCAGGCTGGACATTTCTGCCCTTGTCAGATTTAGTCTATCTATAACGGTTTTCAAAATAATAGACAAAACTTGCATTTACCCCCTATGTTCTATTTTTAGCCATGTCTGCCATCTTGGTAGGCGGGCAGGATCATCGAACACATTTTTTTTTAACTAGATACCTTAATGATGATTGTGGCCAAGTTAAGTTAAATTTGGCCAAGTAGTTTCAGAGGAGAAGATTTTTGTAAAAGTTAACCTTTGAGCCAGGTGAGCTAAAAATTACAGTTGTATAAAAATTTAGTTTTTGTGAGAATGTTTAGAGTTACATAGATGATTTTCACATTCCTGCATTTTCCTGTACATTTCCAATGACACAACACATTTGTTTGTCCGTTTACATTAAGAGTCGATTGTTCATTGATGTAATTTATAGTATTGATAATTGATTAAATTCTCACTAGTATTTTGCGAATCATAAGACAAAGCATTGCCTAACAATGTTGTCTCAATTTCATTTTAATGCTTGACCTTTTTAAATCTATACATAGGTCTTGATGTCAGTCATCTTTTTTGTAACTCATCATCTTGGAAGAAATGATCAAATCAATAATCCTAATATTTTGATTCATGTGAAATATTTTTTGCTTTAAATAAATTTACTTGTTGAAATCATATTTTGTTAAACAAACAAAAAAGGGAGACAACTAATGAAACATACAGATTTATGCCTTTAGCCCTTAGAGATGTTGCAAGGGTTCATAACATGCATTAAGAGCATGACACTCTCTGTACACGAGTCATCAGATTTGTACGTATCACATATATCAAACGGATGCCCACACAGGAAACAATTTTACTGTCGGTTGTAATAAGACCTAAGTGACCATATTTCCATTCCCTAGTCACACTTGAGTGTTTAATTGATTTAAAGCTTAAGATGGAAACCCACAGAGGGCCCAAGACCACAATTAATGATCCCGCTTTTCGTTGTACACGAATATAGTTCCTTTTAATTAGAGTGTATTTTTTCTTAATTTTTTTTCTTTCCCTTCCTCACTCATTTCTTAGTTTTTTTTGGGTGGAAATAAAAGAAGAGAGGTGAAATAATCTTTTGGATGTTGTATTTTAACTGATTTTGATATGGAAAGAGTGATTAGGCCAGGTGCAAAAAGGTGATATTTACAGTTTTCGGAACATCTCTTGACTTGTCCATAGGGGTATGGATGTGTATTGGCTAAATTTGTAAGAGTCATTGGTTCAATCTTTCTGAATTTTGGATATATTTTTGGACTAGTACTATACATTATACACACAAAAGATTTGACAAAAATGCAAGGTGCAATTTTTTTAATGAAACAAAACGTTATAAAGAACTAATAGGGGAATTTAATTGTGGTCTGTGGCTTAAGAGGTGAATTCAGGAAATATTGAATTTGTACTTTGACAACTTCCCTGAATGATCTATTGGTATTAATTTGTCAAACTACATGAGAATAAATGATTTCCACTTTTATTTGATAGAAATTTTGTAAAAAAGTGACATTTCAGCCTACATGCCCAAAATTGAACTTTTTCAGTTGTTTCAATATTTTTACAAAAGTAGCATGCTTACTTTCTCTCTGACAGATTTTTCTGGTTTTCTATTTGTGTTTGTGGTATCTAATGTAGATGTTTAACTCATTTTTGAACACTGAACACAAAAAAAAAGTAGATAAAATCAGAATAAGAGTGCAAAATGTGCTGCTTTAATGGTCTTAGTCTAACGGTCAGTATGAAGCAAGTGAAAAATGAGGTTCTATGCACATACAAGTTGAATTCCTTTTAGCAGATTTCACTGAATCTGTATCAAAAGCACTTATTACTGGTTGTTTGACCTTGTCTGTTTCACAGACTACCTTTATTTTCTTTTGTTTGATAGCTAGTGGTTAAAATATTGGCCTTTTGAGGCTGAAATTTCATGCCGGTTTTAAAAAGTAAAGTAAATAACTTTGCATCAAATCATACTGTCTACATATATAGTTGAAAGTGACAGTCATGTTACATCCAGGCTCCATGTTTTATTATATCTAAACAAAGATTTGAGCAAAAAGAAGCATATCTCTATCTACCATATCATTTATATGCTTTTTAATATGCAAATGTGGGGAACGACCTAAATTGACAACCTGTTTTTTTAAGCTTGACATTGCTGAAGACCATTTTATTCACATGTGTTATGCTATTTGAAACTTATATTTCCATTAAAAGTACATTTATAACATGTAAAAGGTGTTTTTATAACTTAACAACTTCAGAAAATTGTGGTAAGTGAAAAATATTACATTTCATATAAGGCCTCGATTCATTTGAAAACCTCTATTTTTTGGCACAGGCTCATATAAAATTTACTTCTGGCCATTTTTTATAAGTCTGAAACATGAAGTATGCTATCTGTTGCTTTTAATAGGTGATAACTTATACATAGAAACATTAAATAATGTAAGTTTTGGTATATTTTGGTTTTTAGAAGCCCAAATTTGATAGTTGAAATTGTTCTAATTCAACACCACAATTCAGCACCCAAAGTTCAGATATAAAAAATGCCACATTTTTTAGAATTGGTATCATATGGCTTTGAAACTTTGTAAACTGTTTTATAATACACTAAGCTTAAATCATGCCAAGTTTTATTAGAATTGGTCAAGTTTTAGACCCCTAATAGGCCCAAGACCACAATTAATGATCCCGCTTTTCGTTGTCCACGAATATAGTTCCTTTTAATTAGAGTGTATTTTTTCTTAATTTTTTTTCTTTCCCTTCCTCACTCATTTCTTAGTTTTTTTTGGGTGGAAATAAAAGAAGAGAGGTGAAATAATCTTTTGGATGTTGTATTTTAACTGATTTTGATATGGAAAGAGTGATTAGGCCAGGTGCAAAAAGGTGATATTTACAGTTTTCGGAACATCTCTTGACTTGTCCATAGGGGTATGGATGTGTATTGGCTAAATTTGTAAGAGTCATTGGTTCAATCTTTCTGAATTTTGGATATATTTTTGGACTAGTACTATACATTATACACACAAAAGATTTGACAAAAATGCAAGGTGCAATTTTTTTAATGAAACAAAACGTTATAAAGAACTAATAGGGGAATTTAATTGTGGTCTGTGGCCAGAGTCACATGACAAGTTTAAAGCAAACATACAAAATCCACATGTCTAAAATTAACAGCCTTTGGTTCGGATTAATACACTTGGTCCCAGCCTTAGGGGGTCACTAGTTATCACTTCATATTAAATTTTGGCAACACATGACAATCGTATTCGTAAGCATTTAATCCCAGAATTTTGAAGAAAAAAATCCGGATTTCTGGGACATCATTTTTTACGTAAAATAGCTATATTTTAAACACAAACATGAAATAAACAGATAAATACGCTCGTTATAAATGGATACCTGGTTCTGAGATCATCAGCCATTGTCAAAAATTGAAAATTGGTGTCGTTTTAAAAATCGATATCGTGTAACATCAGTTATCAGCTCATATTGGACAGAAACAGTTATTATTTTGTCATACTAATCCTTATTTTGATCAATCAGCATTTCACATAAGCCCAATTTGCACGAAGACCGAAATCTACATGAAAAATTTATACCCCACAACGTACAAGATAGAAGTCAGGACTTACCAACCGTGTGAAGGAACTTGATCAATAAACTAATTTTCAGCACAGGCGCTTGGGTATATGATACAGATATTTTTTTTTTCTTTTTTTTTCTTGATTAAAATATTCAATTTTCTATATTTATACTATCCACATAGTAAAATGGGGGTTGTCTCAGAGTTGGTAAAATCACTCGAAACTAGGTGAGACATGCGCAGTAGTGATAGATATGTAGTATAAATATAGAAAATTGAATATTTTAATCAACAACAAAAAATCCCCAAAAAAATATCTGTATCATATACCCAAGCGCCTGTGATTTTCAGTGTCCAAAAGTAACTTTTATTTGAAAAATAAAATCTATATATAAAAAAAGAATGCAAGTGGGTCCTTTTTTTACTTGTAAAATTAGTGCTTTTTTGATCAGGAATTTATGAATAATTCGGTCACTCATTATATTTAAGTGATTGACTTGAGACAATAAGCAAAATTACATATCTTTAACATGCTAATTACCTGATCTAAACTTATCAAATGCTTTAAAATCTATATCGATCAATAGAATAGAATAAACTATGTTTTTGTTCACAAAATTAGTACCACAGCGGGGCATATAACACATAAACAGCATCATTTTAAACATTTGCAGAACAATTATATACATCCAATGTAATCTAGACAATATACATGTAACCAATGCAATCTAGACAGTATACATGTAATAAAAAAAAAACATGCACCAAAATAACAAAAACATGTTATATATGTTTATTCATTGTATTGTGTTTTCAACAGCAGATGAATTTCTTAAGGATTACAAACAGCTAGTTATTTGAATTAACAGTCAAGGTAAAATTTGAAAATGCGCTTTGTGTATTTTGTCTTTATGTTAACTATTTTCGTGATTTGTGTCAATCTAATGAGATTAGCAATTTCCGTCTGATTTTCCCAGTTTGTTCTTATATTATGCTGTAATCCCACTATCCCAAGTTGAGGGAGGATTGGGCGCTCATAAACATGTTAACGTACTCTGCCACCTTTTTTCCTTTGTTTATATTCATGATTTTAAATGAATGAATTAAAGAGCCTGTAGTGGGCAATCTCATATACACCACACCCCTGCCTCCAATATAAAGTGGAGAAGCTTATACATTTATGATGGCATGGTTTTCTGAATACATTAAAGAGGCAGTAATGAACATGTGGCGAGGTAAAATTTTGTTTTGAGTTATCACCTCCCTTTTTAATGTCGATTAGAGGAACAACGAAAAGTACAAAAAAAAAACACACTTACTGTGAATATAAGAAGATGTGGGATAATTGTTAATAAGAGACAGCAAACCAACGACACAAAAAATAGAATGAGTCCAGAGGTCAACATCAAATCGCCAATAGACAAGACATCTATATGATATGTCAAGCTCAAAACAGTCACAGCCTAGAACAAGTTATAAGTAAATTTAAGATAAAATTGAGAACCATTAGCCGGAAACGGGGAATGTGTCAAAGAGACAACAACCCGACCAATCAGCAGAAAACTATCACATATTTTCTATTAACAACAAATACTAGCACCCTAAATCACAAAAAGATTATGATATAACTAAAGACAATTACTGAAATATTGGTATTATTAATAATAGATACACCAACAATAGCACAACTCTCCAATCTGATTAAAATCCAGACCTACATTAAGTCGTGTGCATCTATAACTCATTTGAGGATAGCGAATTCAGTTAGGAGGCCCCTCATGGGGGTGTCCAAGTAATTACATAATCATAAATATTTTACCAATATAATCACATAATCATAAATTATTTTTTTAAACAAGATAATCAAATAATCAAAAATACAGTCCTAGCTTATCAGATAATCAATCAAATAATCATGAAATATTTGGTCTGGTAATCAAATAATCACTATCAAAACGGCCAAGTAATCACACTCAGTTAGATTGCACAAATCTCATACTTACAGTATCTGCATGATGAAAGATTTATTACGCTTGCTGTCTTGCACATTCATTTTTTTTCGTAAACTCAGACCGTTGGTTTTCTTGTTCAAAATATATGTTTCACTGTAATAATAAATCACATTTTGTCATGTCGGTGTCTTTTATCGTTGAGTATACTGCGTGGAACAATTCGTCGTTGAAGGCCGTACAGTGACCTATAGTTACTGACATCTACATCATTTGAACTGTGGTGGATAGTTGTCTCATTGGTAATCATTCCACATCTCCCTATGTTTATATTGCAGTTAATGACACCAAGCTATAAGTGCTCAACCTGCAGATGTGAAATCATGGCGTCATTACGTAACAAGTATCAGGTTTTCTGCATTATATTGGTATTGATATTTTATGAAGAGCTGAGAAAATGGGTACAATTACAGGTGAAACCGATATTGTAGGTTTATTACCGTACAGAAAGATAAGATCGCGTCAAGTCGCCCAGTCTTTAGTTTTCTATGTTGTGTTTTGTGTACTATTGTTTATCTGTTTGTCTTTTTCTTTTTAGTCATGGCGTTGTCCGTTTATTTTCGACTTGTGAGTTTGAATGTCCCTCTGCTATCTTTCGCCTCTCTTCTATCTAATACAATACCCAGAATAAATCTGTACAGAATTCCAATACTCTTGACGAACATGTGATCCAGATAATAGCTCATGCCAGTGCAGTACATTCATGGTTTATTAATATATTGTTATGTAGTCTCTTTACTATTGGATTGAATTGATGTTAGTCCCAATAGAAAAAGGCGCAAAGATTGAACTACCGGTAGTGCACACCATACCATAATGTATTTTGTCATTATTCTTCGTATTGGGTGGAAGTTAATTTCCTCATGGTTTATTTCAAACCAAATAGATATTATTTCAATCAAATTTAATTGAAAAAAAATAATATTATATGCATGTTCACATCAGGAGAAAACATAGTTAGTTCAAGCCTTCTTTGATATTTAGTTTTCAATAGGATTTGACAACTATTAGATTTTGAGCCTAAAGGTTCCTGACTTGGGACAGGCGCAAGAATGCGGTGGGGTTAAACATGTTTTGTGAGATCTCAACCCTGCCACTATACCTCTAGCCAACGTGAAACAAACTAAGCACACAGCAAAATGCACAGTACTGGTAAAACTCATTTTAAAAGAAGTCAGAGTCCGATATATTTATATTACATCTTTTATTTATTCAGCTATAGAATTCAGTGCAATTTTCATTTGTATATTTGATATCGTTTTCTCAGCAGCTTTTATCAACAGCAACATAGTCTTTAATGGTGTCCATCACCGTAGACAACTCAGCCAATAACTAGGCTATAAACTATAGATGTCATTATTCTGTGATACAACACAGTATATGATGTATAATGGTTTTGGGAAGGTATATCTGCAGTTTTCATTTTGTTTTATTCCCCCAATCAAAAATTAAATTCCTATTTTTGCCTAATAACCAAAGCTAAAGTTTGATTGCAAGAAAACCAATCAAGGTGGAGATTTCCTCCACGAGGGCATCACCAGCCCAGTAATAAGTAGTCAGCTCTTCTGTGTTGACATAAACTATCATTGATAAGATCATAATTATGAATGAACTGTTTGCAAAACTTTGAATTTTTCGAAACCCGAAGAATATTTGTTGCTGATGGTTGGAACTTGAAACTACACACTCTGAAGATGATTCTAGCCAAGTTTGGTCTTAATTGGTCCAGTTGGTGCAGTTAAAAAAAGAGGGGATATTTTTTTAAATAACTTCAGATGGATGACAATTAATGACACCAATCGCTCATACTGAAGGCTCAGGTGAAACAATCAACAGTCTTTAAACAATACTCAGAAAAATGAACCCCACCATATGAAATCAGATACTACAAAAGGATGAACAGCTCCTGCTCCACTAATAACACCCATGATTTTAAATCTAGTATAATGATTTCTTAAAGTTGTATACATTAAGTGGTATTTCCATATTGTCTAACCATTACCAAATTCATTCATTTGCACTAGTTATTTTCTAACTCTTACACATGAACCTTACAGAGTTTGAAATGAATAGGATAACTTTCACAGGTTTTTCTCTCATTAACTTACCTATGATCACTGGACTTACACTGGAATAACATTTAAGTTTGCGGTCTGCTTTGTAGATATTTGGGGTTTGTAATAAAAATAAATCAGTTTATATAAAGTGCTAATCCAGATAGTCCATTTTCACTGTCAAATGCGAGTATTACTATTGCATACCTACCAACATTTCTAAATGCCCATGGGGGTTTTACGTGCAAGATGACTCTCATAGTCCAACAAAACCTTTAAAGGAGCCTTCAAATTTATCTTAATGTTGTTTATTTGCTCCTTCATACTTTACAATCCTATACCCATGGTACAATTGATTGTTTTGTTTTAAATTGTGGAGAAAATTGCTCTTTCAAAATTTCCAATTGGGAGCCTCCATGGGGGAAATCCCCCGCAAATAGTGACAGTTGGCAGGTATGCTATTGTAGAACAATAAATGATTGTAACAGGATGCTGTTACGAAGTCTCCCAAACGAAGCTCCCATAATTCGTAATTCCCAGGGTCGCCTGACATTGGGCACCGTCCAGTGAAAATTGGTTTGGTCCAGTAAAGTTATATGCATTAGTGATGCCTGGGGACTAACCTTGTATATCATTCAAATCATCTTGGCATGACAAACCAGAATATATATGGTTTAGGGGTGGGGATCTCGACCATTTGATACTAGAACATTGGGGGTAGGGAGGAACCCCTGGGGACTGGCCCTATACGTCATTCAAATGTTCATTACATGACGAACAGGAATATATATGGTTTAGGGGTGGGGATCTCAACCATTTACAAGATATTAGAACTTTCTCAAATGGCAGGGGGTCGGGATGGCCCCTGGGGACTTACCCTGTATATCATTCAAACCA